AACATTTCAGAGGAGGGGGTCAAGAGTTGCATCTCCTTCTCCGATGGGGAAGTCATAATGCAATTGCAAAAAGAAGCACCCTTGTCTGAAGAGGAAAAGACACAGATCAAAACTTTTTTTAAAATCACAATCTAAACCTGCAGATGCTCAACTGCTCAAAATTGAGCATTGTAAAAATCTGCAAGGATTAAACAAACTACTCTTCTGATGGTACACATTACCTCTGTCAGACAACACAACACAACACACAGCACAACACGACACAACACACGTGTCCTCTGATGGTACACATTACCTCTATCAGACAACACAACACAACACACAGCACAACACGACACAACACACGTGTCCTCTGATGGTACACATTACCTCTATCAGACAACACAACACAACACAACACAACACAACACAACACACCTGTCCTCTGATGGTACACGTCACCTCTATCAGGCAAAGATGGCTCATGTTGAGGCAGCAAAAAGTGCCACCGGGTAAAATCTTTTATCTTTTCTTTCACCAATTCATGGCCAAGTGAATGGGGCAATGATACCACCCCCCACCCCCCGCCCCGTCTAAACAGTTCCCAGGCAAAAACTGGTAAACAATTCATCAAGCCAGGGTTCCCACTACAGCAGCAGCAGACTAGGAGTCACAAGTTCAGGGTTGGAAAAGAGAAACCGTTCCCTCCACTACAGCACTAATACTGTGTGTTTTACCTACAATGGCAATTCATTTGAAAGATGTGATGTCTTTCTGATGTAATGCGCATTGAGCATTTGAAAGATGTGATGTCTTTCTGATGTAATGCGCATTGAGCATTTGAAAGATGTGATGTCTTTCTGATGTAATGCGCATTGAGCATTTGAAAGATGTGATGTCTTTCTGATGTAACGCGCATTGAGCATTTGAAAGATGTGATGTCTTTCTGATGTAATGCGCATTGAGCATTTGAAAGATGTGATGTCTTTCTGATGTAATGCGCATTGAGCATTTGAAAGATGTGATGTCTTTCTGATGTAATGCGCATTGAGCATTTGAAAGATGTGATGTCTTTCTGATGTAATGTGCATTGAGCATTTTTGAGACAATGGGAAGGCGCAGCATAAAAGATATTTATTATTATTATTATGATGATGATTATTCTTACCTTCTTGGCCCAGGCCTGGTGCCGTCTGTCTCCAAGCAACTGCTCCTGGGAGAGCACCTGTGCCCCCGTGCTGCCCAGGAACTGGCCCGGCAGGTGTTGGGAGGATGCCCACTTGTTGGCCTGTGGGAGACACAGAAAATCTCTGGAAAAACAAGACTCAGCACAGAGTAGAACTAGACTTCTCATCTGTAACACAAAAAGATACAGAAGGTCATTCTTGCCATCATCCATGACAATTCTTCCATCTTAATCATCTGGTGACAAGTATCCATATGACCTTAGAGCATGCATCAGAATCCCATTGAGTTACAGTCAGAATACTGAGGAAATATCTAGCTTAATAGTATCATTGTTTCTATTACTGTTCATTTATATCATGCATGCGACTGTAAGTCTGTCTGTGAGTGCAAGCATACTGTGCGTGTGTGAGTGTGTGTGTGTGAGGGTGTGTATGTGTGTGTGTACGTGGTGAAACACCAAACCAATGAGCCAGGATCTGGACCATAAAGATGTATCTTGTCTTGCTATCCATGGCTCGGGTCATCCGGTACACATGACTAGAAACAAAGAACAGAAGGCACGAGATGGTAAGAAGGAAGCGAGGGGGGAAGAGACAGGAAGCGAGGGGGGAACAGACAGGAAGCGAGGGGGGAAGAGACAGGAAGCGAGGGGGGAACAGACAGGAAGCAAAAGTGACCAACATATTTACCTGTTCCTGGACCTGATGCATCTTGGACAGGGCCTGGACATCAAAAGGATTTTCCTGTAACTTCCTCACAGCTTGAAGTCTCTCCGATATAATGGAGCCAATGTCGATTTTCTGGAATGTGAAAAATCAAGGAACGATTCAGGCGAGTCATGCATCTTCAAAACATGCTGCTGTTTGGGTTAAAAAAAAATCAATTGTAAACTTTCTAATTCTGTTACAGATGCTTGAAAACCTTACATCATCTGTCGTAACGACATGCTCCGTCTCCTTCCCCTTTCTCTCCTTCCAACAGAATGGCGCAGAGCGTGTCGTTTTCACATTTTCACCACCACTAATTTCCTACACAATCCTGTCCACTCCTTCTCATCTGTTTACAATATAGGTCAAGTTAAAAACAGACATTTCCTTTCTTCACGAGAATTTGACACTTGAAGGAGTATTTGTTTTTAAAGCAGCATCGGTAGTCTAGTGATTAGGCTACCGGACCGGTAATCATGAGCTTGGGGGTCCAGGGTTCCATCCTCAGCTCCGACCGATGTTGTGTCCTTGGAAAAGGCTATTTCCACGAATTTTCTATCTGGCTTGGTCCTTCTGGAGATGGATGTAAACTTCGGGGGTCCCACCTCTTCAACAAGCTAAAGGTGTTGATAAAAGCATTACTCTACACCATTTCATATTTTCAATGTCCGCACGTTGTGTCGCTAATAGTTTTGGATCTAGAATCAGAGTCACGTTCTAAATCAAGACTTCATCAAATTCCTCAACAATACACAAACTTTTCCTGCATTCAATCTCACTATCCACTTGGCCCGTGCTGTCCATCTCACTGTCCACTTGGCCCGTGCTGTCCATCTCACTATCTACTTGGCCCATGCTGTCCATCTCACTATCTACTTAGCCCATGCTGTCCATCTCACTGTCCACTTGGCCCATGCTGTCCATCTCACTGTCTACTTGGCCCATGCTGTCCATCTCGCTGTCCATCTCACTGTCCACTTGGCCCATGCTGTCCATCTCGCTGTCCATCTCACTGTCCACTTGGCCCATGCTGTCCATCTCACTGTCCACTTGGCCCATGCTGTCCATGGTTATTGTTTTAGTGAATGACGTGGGTCTAGATCTACCATGGTTATTGTTTTAGTGAATGACGTGGGTCTAGATCTACCATGGTTATTGTTTTAGTGAATGACGTAGGTCTAGATCTACCATGGTTATTGTTTTAGTGAATGACGTGGGTCTAGATCTACCATGGTTATTGTTTTAGTGAATGACGTGGGTCTAGATCTACCATGGTTATTGTTTTAGTGAATGACGTGGGTCTAGATCTACCATGGTTATTGTTTTAGTGAATGACGTGGGTCTAGATCTACCATGGTTATTGTTTTAGTGAATGACGTGGGTCTAGATCTACCATGGTTATTGTTTTAGTGAATAACGTGGGTCTAGATCTACCATGGTTATTGTTTTAGTGAATGACGTGGGTCTAGATCTACCATGGTTATTGTTTTAGTGAATAACGTGGGTCTAGATCTACCATGGTTATTGTTTTAGTGAATGACGTGGGTCTAGATCTACACATGTGTGTGGAGCCCATTTCCTTACAGAAATTCTAAATGACAGTGCAGATTTAAGTTTGGCTGTTCAGGAAAATCCATCGAATGAATTCTGACAAATAGGAGTTAAAAATCAATAAATACCACTTGATGTTTCAAAAATAAAGAAAAAGAACCCCCCCCCCTTTTTTTCCCCCCAGTATTTCTAAACAGACAAAGAGCTTGTTGCTAATTATCTTATCCTTCAAGACTGCATTTTCTATCTACAAGTACAAGTACTTTCCATCAACCATAATTATAGGCCATAGTTCATCGGAAGGCCGTCCCTTCCCTGACTAAAACTAAACACTCAGTCTTCTAAAATACCGTTCTATCATACCGATTCTGCTACTAAAACTAAACACTCAGTCTTCTATCATACCGATTCTGCAGTTGGAAAAATGCTGGGCTCGGACTTTGGAGGTTCCACGACAGGCTTGTCCACTGTGGCCTAGAATGAAGAGAATAACACATTAGAACTCTGAGAACAACACATTAGAACTCTGAGAACAACACATTAGAACTCTGAGAATAACACATTAGAACTCTGAGAATAACACATTAGAACTCTGAGAACAACACATTAGAACTCCGAGAACAACAGATTAGAACTCTGAGATCAAAATGGTTGGGTTTTTTTGTGTTCTTATTTCCACGTAATTTGAGGGAAAAAATTGCAAGCATCAATCCAATAAATGATGAACTTAGCTGTTGAGCTTGTGATGTACAATGCCTAGACAGCCAAATTGTCTCAAGACATAGGAAATACTGTTTTGTTCTTTTTAAAATTGTACCCATACTTCGAAACTTGTACCAAAAGACGGCTAAAGGCTTTATTCATTAGTTGACATAATTTGTTTCGCGAAGAGAAGATATTTTTAATGATATGTGTGGGTAAAGTTCACTGAAAGCCCATTCGAAAAAATGGTTGTACATTGAATGGGCCAGTAGGCACGAAACTTTCACTTGAATCTTATCATATTGTGAAGCACCTTGAGCCTCTAGAAAGGGGGTGCTATGGAAGAGATCTTTATTATTATTATAATTATTATTATTATTTGTCATTATATGTCTGTATGTACACACTATGAGCATACGCTTAAAGTACATGTGTATAAGTCTCATTATCCTCATAAAGTTTCAGATTTGAAAAAGACATCGGCGATCATGGTTCTCCCTTCATTTCTCCGATCAGATGTTTTCAAAACTCCCACATTATCCCGGCAGTTCCCAGCCTCCATCTGTTCAGACTTTCCAATACTTTACTCTGTCTACCCCTGCCTCCCATCACTTTACTCTCAGTCTACCCCTGCCTCCCATCACTTTACTCTCAGTCTACCCCTGTCTCCCATCACTTTACTCTCAGTCTACCCCTGCCTCCCATCACTTTACTCTCAGTCTACCCCTGTCTCCCATCACTTTACTCTCAGTCTACCCCTGCCTCCCATCACTTTACTCTCAGTCTACCTCTGCCTCCCATCACTTTACTCTCAGTCTACCCCTGCCTCCCATCTGTTCAAACTTTCCAATACTTTACTCTCAGTCTACCCCTGCCTCCCATCTGTTCAGACTTTCCAATACTTTACTCTCAGTCTACCCCTGCCTCCCATCTGTTCAGACTTTCCAATACTTTACTCTCAGTCTACCCCTGCCTCCCATCTGTTCAGACTTTCCAATACTTTACTCTCAGTCTACCCCTGCCTCGTTTGCCTTCTGTATGTGAGGTGTGCTGACAAAATGAGTAACTTCTCCCAATCCAAGAAATATTGTCCGAAAATCAACACTGGGGTTAGATTTATAGATTCTCAATTGATGTCATTTTCAGTGCTTCCACCAGCTGAAGCAGAAAAGAAAGGAAAATTGTGCCGGGGTCTGGGGGCCCCCCGCAGGCGAAGCCCCCGAAGAAATTGAAATGTAGTGCTTTTAGAGGGTTGAAAATGGCATTTGGGAGCCTGTTTGAAGAGACTGCCTGCAAACCATAACATTTATTTTTTCCCCAACATTTTGTCTTGTTTGATTTCTTCACCAAGATCTACACAATATAAAATGTTTCCATTGATGGCAATGTTTAGAAGCAGGCAACTACTATAATTCAATTAATTAGTCATCGCACCATTGATACTTTGACAGAAGGCAAACCTGAATAGATATGTACCTCCACAATACAGTTACCCGGCGTATACCCTAATTTTCCTACAATTTCACGCCTGAATGTCGCATGTCACAACCTCGGAACACCACTTCGAATTGTTTTTGATTTTAGTAGTTTTAGGCTGGTTTTAGCATAAATTTCTTTCATCACGGCCCTTATCGTGTTCCCGTGCCTTAGAATCTTCATATTGATCATTTCTCTAGATCTAGACAAATTTGTAAAAAAGTTTCTTTCTGACAGTAATTTTCTGTCTAAGATCACAAGTCAATTTACTCGATCAACGCGCAGATTTTCCAGCCCCGGCAACAATCCCAAGATAGACAGACGGAATGAGGGAATGACAGAAAGGAGGAAGTTGGCACAAAAAGTTCGCCAGATTTTGATCAATCCACAGGTAAAAAATGTAGTGCCGACAAGCCTGCAATGAATGCATGGGGCACAGCGGAATAATGGCCGATAGCAGGAAATGCGCAATCTGGCAGGTTTCTATAACATTAACTTATTGCCGAGAGAATTACCGTAAATATCCGTAACTTATACTAGTACTAGACAATACGAAGGCGAGTACGGATCTTTTGCTACGGAATTTCGGCAGTCCTACGCAGTTGCAGATTTTTACGGAGGGAGTTGATAAAGATGGAGGAACAAGTACGGAACTGGCAGAAAGTACGGATTTCCGTAAAAATATGGAAGAGTGGAAGCAGTGCATTTGTTAAAGTCTACTGTGTCTATTGTTCTTCCATACTTACAAATTGTACAAAGTTCACCTATAAAGTTGAAGAATCAATTACCATTTGGCAAAAATTAGAGCAGTAACTCATGTTGTCAGCACAGCTCACATATGTCCACTGAGAGCCAGAACATGTTCCAAGCCTTCCTGCACGTCACACAACCAAACAAAACAAAAAACAAAAAACTGACCGTGTTCTTGGAAGGGGTGGCAGGGGCCACAGTCTCGCTGGGGGCAGCCTTGGGCTGGACCGGCACCCACTCGGACTCGGTGGCTCGGTGGTGGGAGCCGCTGGACACGGGGAAGGTCAGACGCAGCGCCGCCTGCTGAGCTTGTTTCTCCGAGGGGGTCAGCACGGGCAACTGTCGGGCATTCTGTGACGGCAAACAGGACAACAGTGGTGACGGTCAATGGTGAACACACCAAACAGGACAACAGTGGTGATGGTCTATGGTGAACACACCAAACAGGACAACAGTGGTGACGGTCTATGGTGAACACACCAAACAGGACAACAGTGGTGACGGTCTATGGTGAACACACCAAACAGGACAACAGTGGTGACGGTCTATGGTGAACACACCAAACAGGACAACAGTGGTGACAGTCTATAGTGAACACACCAATCAGGGCAACAGTGGTGACAGTCTATGGGGAACCACACCAAACAGGGCAACAGTGGTGACAGTCTATGGTGAACACACCAAACAGGACAACAGTGGTGACAGTCTATGGTGAACACACCAAACAGGGCAACAGTGGTGACAGTCTATGGTGAACACACCAAACAGGGCAACAGTGGTGACGGTCTATGGTGAACACACCAAACAGGGCAACAGTGGTGACAGTCTATGGTGAACACACCAAACAGGGCAACGGAGGGTTTTTTCCTTTTCATAAGTTTTACAGCACTTGCAACACAATACGATCACATAAGTGCTGAAGATTAAAGATGTTACAAGGGAGTAACAAATACAAAAAAGAAGGAGGAGAGATAAGGATGATACATGATTGATAGGAAAGAAGGAGCAAACCCCACAAGAGCACCCGCCAACCACCCACTGTAACAGAGGTGCATAAGGTCGTATGAGCGCCAAGGGGTGGATGTCAACAGAGAAGTCCTTACAGGGAATCAGACTTACTCAGCTCACCTCTCTAGCTTCAACAGCACAAAGTCTGCTTCGACTATCAAGGCACTTCACAAGAGCGTGACAAACATACAAAAGAAGTAGAGGAAAATGACGATAGTAAGGATGAGGAAAGAAAAAGCACACCCCTACTGCCATCTTTTATAAGGCTTCAAACCAAACAGCACGGGTGGTGGTCCAAGCTTGTCTATTTAAGACCCACATTTTACCTCCTGACGGTCCGCTAAAGTAACTCGGGAACACGCACAAAGCAGTCGACAAAATTAATACATACCCGAATATTGAGCACTATGTTGGAGGAATTGTCTTTCAGTTTAAATGGATGATGGATGAGAGAATCGTCTTCGTTCTCCTCCGCCTCTTCCTCATCACTCTCACTGATATCACTGTCGTTCTTGTTTTTCTCTTTCTCAGAAATTTTCTTGCAAAAATCTGAAAGGACACACAATTCTTTAAGCTCTGTAAACATGAATGTGACAGAGCTTTTGGGTCAAGAAAAACAAATCAAAAAAACTTTTTAAAACTACAAATGAAGAATCGCCATGTAGCTACATATACAAAGTAAAAGGGCACCATTACCGATGAGGAAGCCAGACTGTTGAAACAATTTGAGAAGACATTTTCATAATCCCAGAAGGAAAAAATTCCAATATGCACCTTCTTACAGTAGGGTCGCACAGAAATTTCAGGATAACATTCTTGTGAAGTTGGGGGAAACCAAACGTGTTGATGAGTTCACCGCTTGGTGAGATCTCGTCTGGGGCAAATAGTGTACTTTCTCATCGAGATTTACAACAGAGATCCAACTACTTGTTTGATCCCTCGCACCCACCCAGGTTTTACCATCAGAAATGCGTGATTTAGTCAAAGGTAGTCCTTCAGAGTGGGATCTTAGGGGTGACTTTTGTGTAGTAAAAATTCTGTGTTCTGAGATCGGCGAAAGTGAACCAGGATTGTAAGCTGTGGGATCTTAAGCAATTCTGAAATGGCTTACAGTGACTCAAAGGTCATGGCTGGCTGTTTTACAAGTGATTCACAGAAGAAAAAAAATAACATCAAAATTGTGTCAAAATAAATCAAGAGAATAAAGCATCAAAATTGTGTCCAAATAAATCAAGAGAATAAAGTACATAAAGTCTGTTGTTTCTGGGAAATCAGTCCACAAAAAACAATTTGTTTATTCAGGTACATAAAGTGGGTACTATCATTTGTTTCAACAGGTGCCAGTATAAACTATGCAAAATACCAAGATGAGGACAATCAGAGTTTAAATAAAGCCAATGCAGAGACTTAAAATTGAAAAAAAATTACTCCTAGATGCATAATGTTAATTCAAAAATGCTAAAAAGACAGATTTCAGACATCAATAAAATGGAAAGTTATTGCTGAAAAGAAATGAAACTTACAATATTCACAGTAATGCAAATTCATAGCCCAATTTTTTTCTGAGTTCTGGCACTTCAATTTAATCAGTTATGGAACCACAAAAATGAGAAATCTGCCAATTTTGCGCTATAAACAGAAAATCACAAAACGGTACACATGGCCTGAACGCTTTCCACAATAAAATCACCAAAAATCATGGTAAATGTTAGAAACTTTCCATGCCAATGTACTATTGGACCAGGAATCCATTTCTGTTATCATTTCTGTGATAACATGAAGCATTACAATGATATGAGGTTAGATAAGAGAAAAAATAAGAAATTATTCAGCATTATTTCAACAAAATCATCTATAACTTCTATAGAACAACAAGAAAGACGCCCCAAAGCTCTACTCCTATGTGTTTTTGGGTCAGGAATCCATTTCTGCAATCAAATCTGAGATAAAATGAGGCATTAATAAAGTAAATATTCAACAATGACAGATCAGATACACAAACACACACAAAAACTCCTCAATTCTAATTATTTTAAAAATTGGAATCTCCAAACAATTTTTTTTCAAAAATATAAGATTGGGCAGAAGCTCCCGCTCAGGCAGAGCCCATTTTCGTTTCAAAACGATGATTTTTTCCCAAAAATATAAAATTGTGCAGAAAAGCTCCCGCACGGGCAGAGCCCATTTTCAAATCAAGGCCAGGACAATTGGGGAGAGGGTGGAGAAGACACAAGTTAGATCTGCAACAAAGTTCAAATTCCCCATGGCTCATTAATCTTAAAAAATTGGGTCTATTCAGGAATAGATCTAGCAATTCTAAAGGTACCAACTTATTTGATAATCACGAATTATTATGAATGAAGCTCTCGCGTAGGAGAGTCCATTTTCAGCAGTAAACCAGCCTCTAAAAGTTGTACTAAAAAATAATTCTATTGGTGCCGGTACTTGTTTCATGAGTCTAAATAGATATATTGGCTAAAAGAAAACAATTAAATGAATTAGTTATCAAAGACTTTGTCAGATATTCGCGATATTCAAGAGAATATATTCACTCATCAATGAACAAATGCCAGCTGCACCCCCTTCACAGAGGAGTTCATCAAGCTTGTTATGATCTTTAAAAAGAGGTCACCATTACGGAATCATCGATAGAATGAAATGGTCACATGACCAGAAAATATCACAAATTTTTGATGACTAAAAACAAATTGATTTAGATTTCACCATATTTTCAAGAAATTTAAGCTTCTTATCTTTCTATCCAAACCAGATTTACAACAATACTGGGTACTGAATTAATTACAGGACGCTCTGAATGATACCACCCATTCGCATGTTTGCAATCTCGGCTTCAAGCCCTAGCTAGATCTAGGTCAGGCAAAGGTTGATGACTTTATGAAGAACTATGTAACACTATGACAATCTAATTAACAAAATCAACTTACCGCAAATCTCCTGAATATCCCTATCCATGATTGGAAGCACAATGCAGCCCTTAATATGCACTTATGTACGTGAATAGAGCGTAATCGAAAATAGGTGCACGTAAATAATTCTTCGCCATTGCTGAATCAAGCGCGTCGCCAGAGATGGGACCAGCATGTGCGTTTACAAAAACAAGCGGCGCTAAACAGCTGCAAGACCAATCGTAGTCATTTTTTAACACGATTCCCTTGACATGTTCTACTTTTGAGTGGTCCAGGGTTCTTTTGACCAATCAAAGGTCAGACTTGGAGATTTCCATTCTAAAAATAGGTTCCAAAACTCCCGATATTTCTGGGTCAACAACTAACTTTAGCAACAAGCGCTTGGTACCGGGTGAAAGCTTATTCAAAGCTCGTTCTTGCACATTTTGTTTCATGACGATAGCAGTTATATCTGCGCAGCGCGAAGGCTTTTTATGAAGCATCCTAAATTTTTGTCGCCGCGGCCGCCATGAAAAATGACGCGAAAAACGCATTCCCGTGCATTTTGGTGACCTTTTTAGATAGCTTACTATACAATATCTCGTTCCGTGCCGTCCTCAATAGTTTGATTTAGGCTAAAAACAATAGTTGAACTGACTTAGTTCGAAACAGGGTGAAGATTGGTGTCAAAGGAGAAGAGTTATGGTTGATTAAAAATGACCAAATTTCGAGCTTCCTACACACTTTCAACTGCGCAGAGGCGGGGGCTTGTGGTAACTAAAGACAGAGACTTACCAGTGAGTTCCTCTAAAGACAGAGACTTACCAGTGAGTTCCTCTAAAGACAGAGACTTACCAGTGAGTTCCTCTAAAGACAGAGACTTACCAGTGAGTTCCTCTAAAGACAGAGACTTACCAGTGAGTTCCTCTAAAGACAGAGACTTACCAGTGAGTTCCTCTAAAGACAGAGACTTACCAGTGAGTTCCTCTAAAGACAGAGACTTACCAGTGAGTTCCTCTACTGATTTTCCACCTGCCCGAGTCGAAATGCTAATTTCAGGACCATGTCCAGTTTTCATATTCTGAAGGGCATTTGCTCTGGGAAAAAAATAAACATTTTTATTGGTATGTACAGAGCAGCCTCTCTATAACGAGATCGTCTGAACCAGCAAAAAAAGTTGTTATAGAGAGGAAACCAAATATTACGAATGATATATAAGGAAAAAAATTGCCACCAGGGCACCATGTGGCTATATATAGAGGATGTCGTTATATCGAAGGTCGTTATAGAGAGGCTGCACTGTATTTAGATTCCGACATGAACAACCAAGTAAATCTTGTCTTTTGAAGTAGCCGATGTACGTAGATTCTAGAGGAATCAATAGGGAAAGGCACCACATTTCGAGGGATATTGCATGCATGCGCTCTGTCTCTCTTGTTTCGTCAAATCTTGGCCACTGCAATTTTGAAGTCTGGTATTTCACGTGAGAGAATGAAGACGAGGAAAGTGGCCCAAAATAACATCGCAAGATTAGTATTGAAGAAAAAGAGGAAAGATCCTGCGTCTAAAATGTTAAAAGCTCTTATTCCGGCTTCAATAGAAAAATGAATCCAATAGTAAGTTTCTATCATCTTATTCCGGCTTCAATAGAAAAATGAATCCAACAATAAGTTTCTATGATTAGTCGTAAACTTGTATGGAGGAGAAAGTTCTTCCTGAAGGGGTTGAACTGGGGTTTCTTGTGCATATTGTGTTTCCTTGTGTGAGTGAGGCTGTATTTTCCGTAATCATGTCATTGATGTAGAGCACTCAATCCTTCCTTGTACGGGGTAGAGTGCTACAGATACAGAAATGGTATCTATAATTATTATCATTCTTTTTAGGAAAATTTTGATATTTCCCTTCTTCCTTGTCAGAGTTACTATAAGACGCTTGAATAGCAACAGATGAGACAACACAATAATCTCGTATTTCTTTTAAAAAATGGGTCTTTTTAACTTTTCACCCGAAATTGTATATAAATGCGTATATAAAAGCCAGACTCACATTGCAATTTTCCTGAGTTTGGCCTTGTCAATGCGCACCCTCAGGTCCCGGTCCCTGTCCTCTCTACCTCGCTGACCGTCCTTGGTTCTGTCGCTGTGACCAGTTTTCCACTTGCGAGAGTCCTCCTTGTATTTGTACGCGTCCCATTGGTCATAGTCGTCATTCCTGTACGCATACCAACAAATTCTTGTTTGTTGTACATATTTCATACAAATATCTAAATGTATGTGTTTACTTTACCATAAAAAATATAAAATCCACATTCAAAATGAGGAACACACAAGCATAAACATTTGTTTTATTAAACTCTTAACTTTGTATTTACACTCAAAACATTTTATAAATTTGTTCAAATACACAGAACACAAAATTTGAAATAAACATCTCTTTACCCCAAAAAAAAACCAACAAAAATTAGTTGGTAAAAAGACAAGGATACATCCAACAGCTTTGATTTTTGAGGAAATACAGCGATGAAATAGTGAAGCATCAACGGTACATGTAGTCATCACACCACCGTCAATCCAGCAATCTTGATCTTTTCCACATTACAAGCGTCAGCGTACTCAAAACTTCAAACTCAACAGTTTCAAAACTGATTTAATTCAGCAAAATAGAAAGAAAATGAAACAAACCGTGTTCCACTTGTTTTGGACGAAGACTTTGAACGTGATGAGCTGTGCTTCGATCGCTTTGGTGATCTCGACCTGAGCAAAGACAAGTGAAAACCAAGCTTACAAAATGTTACAGAGTCATGAGGTGGCCACAGAGTCATGAGGTGGCCACAGGGTCATGAGGTGGCCACAAGGCAGAGTCATGAGGTGGCCACAGAGTCATGTGGTGGCCACAGAGTCATGTGGTGGCCACAGAGTCAGGAGGTGGCCACAGAGTCAGGAGGTGGCCACAGGGCAGAGTCATGAGGCGGTCACAGAGTCATGAGGTGGCCACAGAGTCAGGAGGTGGCCACAGAGTCATGAGGTGGCCACAGGGCAGAGTCATGAGGCGGCCACAGAGTCATGAGGTGGCCACAGAGTCATGAGGTGGCCACAGAGTCATGAGGTGGCCACAGAGTCATGAGGTGGCCACAGGGCAGAGTCATGAGGTGGCCACAGAGTCATGAGGTGGCTGCAGAGTCATGAGGTGGCCACAGGGCAGAGTCATGAGGTGGCCACAGAGTCATGAGGTGGCCACAGGACAGAGTCATGAGGTGGCCACAGAGTCAGGAGGTGGCCACAGGGCAGAGTCATGAGGTGGCCACAGAGTCAGGAGGTGGCCACAGAGTCATGAGGTGGCCACAGAGTCATGAGGTGGCCACAGAGTCATGAGGTGGCCACAGGGCAGAGTCAGGAGGTGGCCACAAGGCAGAGTCATGAGGTGGCCACAGAGTCATGAGGTGGCCACAGGGCAGAGTCATGAGGTGGCCACAGAGTCATGAGGTGGCCACAGGGCAGAGTCATGAGGTGGCCACAGAGTCATGAGGTGGCCACAGGGCAGAGTCATGAGGTGGCCACAGAGTCATAAGGTGGCCACAGAGTCATGAGGTGGCCACAGGGCAGAGTCATGAGGTCCCACTAAGAAAAGGGGAAACTACCCCACTTCACGGGAGCCACACAGAAGCCATAAATGTTCTGGCTAAGGGGGTGTCATCTTTTCCCAGTATTTCTTTGGTCTTCCTTACAGAGAAGGTGGGTGCAAAACTCCACAAACTGTATCAAGAAGACACCACCAAAAAGACTTCATGACAAACCTGATATACCTACATATCTAAACACTTTCCTCACTGCATGTCATAAAAATCTATTTTTAAACAACTTACCTTGATCTTGACTTTTTTCGTCTTTTTTTCTCTTTTTTCTTCTCATCCTCAAACTCATCCCTGGAAAGAGTACGCTTCCCATCAGTGCGCTGTTTCTGGGGCGTCGTCTCCTTTTGCCTGTCTTCGTGGCTTCTACAACTGTCACTTTTGTTGCCCTCCTTGCCCACCTCTGAGCTGCTCTTCCTTTTTCTCTTTCTCTCTCCACTTTCTCGTGTATCTTTAGATTCCTTGTCAGATAAAGAATCACTGAAAACAGTGCCGGTCACTTCACTACTTGACAGCCGGCTCGACTTTTCCGCAGAATCTCTACTTTTGTCCAATCTCCTTTCTCCTCTGCTTCTTTCTTTGCTTTTCGTAGACTTTTTCTTCTTCTTCTTCTTGTGTTTATGCTTCTTTTTATGCTTGGACGAATGTGCTTTCTTTTCTTCCGTACTTGAGTTGACGGAGCCGGCGTCAGACGGGAGCTCGCCGTCACCGTCTGAGTTGGTGTCGTTTCTGTCGGAGTCCTCGCTGTTGGATGATACAACTTCACCTGAGCTCAAAGAAAAAAAAAACGTTCACCAGTTTTTCATATTTGTTTTTCTTTTAATATCAGAGCACCAGGATATGTTTTTGAAACAATTCTGAGCCCATAATACCTTAAAAACGACAACTTTTTTATTAAGCATCTAGGTAAACAATAAGGGTCATTCATTACAGTTTTCTCCACTTAAGATCCCGCTATTTGGGAGCAAAGGAAATGTGGGATCTTTTCGAGAAGAAAACTTTCCGTCCCTGTCAGGTTTCGAACCCCGGACTTATTGAATAAGAAGTGAACACCGTACCTCTTGATCACAAGAGCACCCTGGCTGATCAATGATCACAAATTTTCACTGCTTGGGGGTTCTGCTGTGCCTGCCTGGGGTTTTGTCCTGTATATTATAACCTGAAATGCGAGATCTTATCCGAATGTAGTCCTTCACAGTGGGATCTTACAGGTTACCTGTGTAATAAAAGTTCTATTTTCATGGGGTCTTAAGCGAACCGGGATCATAAGCGATGGGAACTTAGTCTCAGGCAAAGACTACTGTACAATGGAATAGAAAGACAGCTAATTAAGACAAACGAAATTGACAGAAGGTTCAGCAATGAAGAACTTCACGCCATAGTCCCCCCTTACCAATGAGACCAACCTCTGACACAGTCAACATAGTCTCCCCTTACCAATGAGACCAACCTCTGACACAGTCAACATAGTTCCCCCTTACCAATGAGACCAACCTCTGACACAGTCAACATAGTTCCCCCTTACCAATAAGACCAACCTCTGACACAGTCAACATAGTTCCCCCTTACCAATAAGACCAACCTCTGACACAGTCAACATAGTTCCCCCTTACCAATAAGACCAACCTCTGACACAGTCAACATAGTTCCCCCTTACCAATGAGACCAACCTCTGACACAGTCAACATAGTTCCCCCTTACCAATAAGACCAACCTCTGACACACAGTCAACTTAAACCTGGCAAGGAGTAGAAAACTTGCATTGCAAAAGTTTCTCTTTTATCAAGCAAGTTTTATAAAATTATATATAAGGCTCAACAGGGACACAAAAGAACACAACTCCACCCCAGACTGTTTCAGCAAATTCACTGGTAGCAGTAACAACAACAACAACAACGTCAATCAGTGGTAGCAGTAACAACAACAACAACGTCAATCAGTGGTAGCAGTAACAACAACAACAACGTCAATCACTGGTAGCAGTAACAACAACAACGTCAATCAGTGGTAGCAGTAACAACAACAACGTAGATCAGTGGTAGCAGTAACAACAACAACGTAAATCAGTGGTAGCAGTAACAACAACAACAACGTAAATCAGGGGTAGCAGTAACAACAACAACAACAACGTAAATCAGTGGTAGCAGTAACAACAACAACAACGTCAATCACTGGTAGCAGTAACAACAACAACAACGTCAATCACTGGTAGCAGTAACAACAACAACGTCAATCAGTGGTAGCAGTAACAACAACAACGTAAATCAGTGGTAGCAGTAACAACAACAACAACGTAAATCAGGGGTAGCAGTAACAACAACAACAACAACGTAAATCAGTGGTAGCAGTAACAACAACAACGTAAATCAGTGGTAGCAGTAACAACAACAACAACGTCAATCAGTGGTAGCAGTAACAACAACAACGTCAATCAGTGGTAGCAGTAACAACAACAACAACAACGTCAATCAGTGGTAGCAGTAACAACAACAACAACGTAAATCAGTGGTAGCAGTAACAACAACAACAACAACGTAAATCAGTGGTAGCAGTAACAACAACAACGTAAATCAGTGGTAGCAGTAACAACAACAACAACGTCAATCAGTGGTAGCAGTAACAACAACAACGTCAATCAGTGGTAGCAGTAACAACAACAACGTCAATCAGTGGTAGCAGTAACAACAACAACGTCAATCAGTGGTAGCAGTAACAACAACAACAACAACGTCAATCAGTGGTAGCAGTAACAACAACAACGTCAATCAGTGGTAGCAGTAACAACAACAACGTCAATCAGTGGTAGCAGTAACAACAACAACGTCAATCAGTGGTAGCAGTAACAACAACAACGTCAATCAGTGGTAGCAGTAACAACAACAACGTCAATCAGTGGTAGCAGTAACAACAACAACGTAAAGTAAGCAGGGCTTGCAAAAGGCTCAATACCTTTGTGACAACTCACAATTCTCAATGAAAAAAACTGGAGATTTTAGAAAGAGAGAAAGAAAGAGAAACAAACCTTCCTCCCATTGTTTGCTTTCACTGCTTGCTGTTTCCTTTTCCTTTAGGAGAGAGAGACTCTGCTGGCTCAACTTGAGGTCCAGCAGCTTTGGCTTAGCGGCTTTCTTGGCCAACGGTAAGGGAAGCATAGACAGCGACTTCCCACAGGACTTATCCCCCTGGTCTGCTGTTGGAGTTTCTAGTCTCTTGGACTCTGACACTGGCTGCGTTTTCTCCTTCTTTTCCTCGACGTGACAGGACGGGAGAACAGTTTGCGGAGCAACAACAGCGTCGGAAGTCTCCCCTGTACTATTGGAGCTTGAGCTTCCTTTAGGATTATCTGACCCTGACCTTACATCATTTACTGATACGAGCTTTTGACTATTAACTTGATCCCCAGAACTCTGTGAAGATTTGGGGTTAGGAATTTTACTACTCTGATTTACTTCATGAGCAATCGTCTTGGCTGAGGCAGATGTTTCAGGATTATCTTGTTTTTCTTCAAGCTTTCTGCTTGCCACATTCGCTGAGCCCGAGTTTGACTGAATGGACTTGATTTCCAAGTCAAGAAGTTGACTGATTTCATCAACAGAAGTCATGCTACCGACGTTTACAGAATCTTTTCCTCTCTCCACAGCAATGCTGCTGCTGGAACAGACGGACGCAGGGCTCATTTTCCGAGTGATGAAATCGTTAAACAGCTTGTCTACAATATTTTGAGAAGACGTAGTCTCTTGTCGGGCAGCCTCAACAGCTGACGTTTTCCGCATAGTCTGAATCGAGTCTTTTCTTTGGACACCAGTATGATCTTTCAAGGCTTCCTTCAGCATTTCTTTAGCACTCTTTTTCGCTGATGAAAGAGATTTTTGTGGGGCATCATCTCCAGAAGGCAGTGGTATGGACGACAAGTTTGGCTCAGACATTGTGATCACCGGCTCTTTAGCTTCCTTTTCTAATCATATAATGTCCATCACCTGTATGAATAGAGAGAAAAATTTTACTAACATGAATCTGTGGTGCCTGACATAAACAGCAACCATTAGAATTTCAATCACTTTTGTTTTCTGATTTCATACTAATGAAGATTTTAAACGTTCTGAAAGGTTGGAAGACGTGTTGGAAGACGTATATATGAATCAGAATTAGCCTAAACAAAGTAAAAACACAAGCCAACTCCAGAAACAAAAATTGGGAGATATTGAGAATTCTTCCCACAGTTTTGACAAGCTCCCACTCATATATATGTCTCTTCCATACTTGGCTTACAGACATTCATGTATGTCTCTTCCATACTTGGCTTACTGATACAGACATTCGTATGTCTCTTCCATACTTGGCTTACTGATACAGACATTCATGTATGTCTCTTCCATACTTGGCTTACTGATACAGACATTCATGTATGTCTCTTCCATACTTGGCTTACTGATACAGACATTCATGTATGTCTCTTCCATACTTGGCTTACGGATACAGACATTCATGTATGTCTCTTCCATACTTGGCTTACTGATACTGACAATCATGTATGTCTCTTCCATACTTGATCTAGATTAGATCTAGGAAATCTGAAATGTTACCGAAAACACGTCGTTCCATGTGGGTATCCCAGGAAGTGATGATATCACATTACTAAAAGGCCGGCACTATTTCTCCGAACACTCTGAAATCACACCCTTTCCCGCATATTTCGGATAATAAAAATAAAATCTGTAATTATATTATGGGCCTACCAAATATTGTTTGTATACAATATGGTTCAATCGGTCCAAAAAATGTCCGTATTTATATAAAGAAATGCTACAGTTCCAAACAGTTTTTCGCTACAGATATGACGTGTTGCCTATGAAGGGTGCTGCTCTTAAACTTAATGTGTTGCGTTCACTCGTGTGCTGTCTAGATCTAGATCTATGGAGGGTTATTGATAACGACACACATAGAGCTAGCATCTGCATTTGTCGAGGCCGCGACCAATCAATCGTGGCTCGATTTTTTGGTCCCCGAAAAAGTCCAAAAAAAAAAAAAAAAAAAGAAACTGAACCTCTTTACTTTTGAAAGAAAGTTCACCTAGCTTCACTTCGTCTCTTTCCCACTTGTTGTCACCACTTTGATTTGTTGAATACTTTACAGTTACATACGATTTGTATTGCTGTTCCTCTTTTATTTTTCGTTTATTTTCCCCTCTTTGTGGTGTTATATTTTGTTGTGGTGTGTATTTTTTTTTCTTGTTATTGTTCTGATGTGTTGTTTTTCTATTAATTTTTTTTTGTTGGGGAAAAGGGGGGGGGGGGGGTGGTTGTATAGTGTAACGTCATTTAATTTGATGTTCCTACCTTCATTAGACTCTAAATATATATATATACCTGTATAGATTTAAATGTGCTATGTTAGAGCGTTCCACCAAAACCAATTACATGTTCTGACACTGGCAGGCCCCTTAATGTGTGTGATTCCATAATTTGCATGTAATATCCTGTACTTTTTTTTAAAAATTACGCACATTTAGGGTTAAAACAGCCAATCTTCTTCGGACAGGTGGACACACGACCTTATTTGTTAATTGTTGTTGTTGTTTATGGGCTGTTCTAATTTTGATTTCATTCTGTTGTGAAACCTTTCTTTTTGTTTTTCACGTTTTTACACTCATTTAAAAATCTCTAGACTAGATCTAGCTCTTGAAAATTGAAATAGATCTAAACCCAAAAATTTGCTCCGTTTTTTTTTTTAATGGACGATAACCGTCCACTCGATAGAAAAGAGGGTCAGATTTCTTCGTCCCTCGGGTGCCTCAGGCAGTATCCGCCTCGCTAAACCAGTGGGCACAAGGCCGGAGGAGAAGCTGAGAACAGATACCACCTTTGATTTGCTCCTTCCCAGACCTCGCAGAATGGCGGAATGAAAGTTGGCGCCGAACTCTCGCAAATAGGCAAACAATCACGACCAGAGCGGAAGCCGGAAACCGTTCGGAGAAGGCCACCTCTATTCTCATCCGGAGTGAGAATAGTGCAGGCGAGTCTTGTGGCTATTCTCACCCGGTGCGCATTCACCGTTATAGCCTAGAGATCTAGGCCAACAAATTTTGCGTTCACCCTAACCTAAACCACAGAATTCTACACTGCGATAACAGAAAAATTGTAGAATTCTGTGCCGTGAACAAACGTTCCATTACAATTGTAGCCTACTAAAAGCGTACAATTTTGTCTGTGGGCAGTGGAGAGAGAGAGAGAAAGAGAGAGAGGAGTAGCGCCAGAATTTCCGGTCAAAACAAAATGGCGACCCGCGTAGTTCGGCTCGATTCGAAAAGTTAAATAGCCGTAGCATCTTTGTAGACAACCAAATTAATTTACTGTGTTTAAACATCATTTTTTAACTTTGTTTTGGTCAATTTGATCGTCCACACTGATAGACAGTATTCAGAAAGAGACAGAGAGAGAGAGAAGACGGGAGGAGTTGATCTTGCGAGGACTTCCGGGCGGGTGAGAATAGCCACTTTCTTCGGAGAAATAAAGATCGGCACTATTTCTCCGAACGTTCGGAGAAATAGTCACTTCGTTACTATAATTTCTACTTTTAATGGCATGTACACTAAGTACAGCAACACAACTTTTTGGTAAACAATCAAGATGACACAGGCGTGCATTTGAACGAATCGGTCTTTTTCTTTACACAGCTTATAAAATGCAGGCATTTCAGGCACTACTTGTGACGTCTCTTTGCACATTACTTGCTCAGTGCCTGTAATTATCTACACAAAACCTCATGTTTGCTATAAAACGAACACTCGGATTCAACGAGATTTTAGCCTTAGGTCTGGCCCGGCGACCTCGTTGAATCCGAGTTCCACTGTATTTCTGCACAGTTCTGAGAGACCCAAATGCTGGAACAGAGAGAATGGGTAGGAGGTCAGCTTAAGATCTTACCCTACATAATTAACTTCGGTCCTTTTACTTTCAAAATAAATTTTCCAAACACGATCACGATACGGCCGATTGCCTGCCTGTCTTGTCCACCATCTTTATTATTGTTGACTAATGACTGATGTTGATCTCTTTGCGACTTCATCGAATGAGAGCCCATTATCTTCGGCGCAGAGGTGAATCGCTCATCACGAATCTTATAATATCCATGCACATAGGCCTGATCTGATAGCAATAAGGTGGTAGGCCTTGATCTAGGCCTTGGCCCCTATAGAATAGGCCTATGTACAATTGGTAGTTATTTATCTGTCTGTCCACAATTTGTTATTCTACAAAGAAGAGTATTTGTTGTTAACAATATTTCTTCTTCTTCTTCTTCTTCTTCTTCTTCTTCTTCTTCTTTCACAGTCTATTTGATACATTACAATTTGGTTCATTTTGATAAAGTGTATAGACATAGATCTATTTATGGGCAAACCTATAAAAATACTACTAATAATAACAATAATAAAAAAAAAAAATAATAATGATTATAAAAATAATAGATCTAATAATAATAACAAAAATAATATTAATAATAATAATAATAATATAATAAAAATAAAAATAATAAAAATAAAAATAATAATAATAATAATAATAATAATAATAATAATAATAATAATAAAACGTTTGAATGTGAAAAAAATAACATGAATTGTAGAAAGGACGAACCGGAAGCAACAGTGGTTGTTTACGACGCTCAAAAGGGTACATATCCGAATCCGATGATCCCGTTAACGTCCATTCCGCTTGCCAGCTCAGGCGTGGAGGTTTGTCCAATCGAATAAGAAACAATTTTTCAAGGGACAGTAGTTGTTTACTAGATCTAGTTTTGAACCAATTCAGGAAGTTCCGTCATCGTTTCTGGGGTTATACCATGTTAAGTCGGTATGAAGTGATTAAAATTCATGGATTTCATGTGATTAAACACTACTAAAAGTGATGATTTTAAATTTTATGGTCTAGATCTAGATCTAGATGATCTAGATCTAGTCATGCAGTTTCTAGATCTAGATCTACAGTAATAATACTGCCTACCTATAAAAGTGTTATGATAATGCCTATAATTATTGAATTGATTGTACTGTACTTTTTTTTAAGCTACACGTTGAGGCTGAAATTCTTAAAGACCAACGTTCGTAGATTTATAGACTGTCGTAGGCCTCCCTTGAATAGCTGCATACTTTGAAGATTTATGAGACTTAGGTACATTTTGCCTTTGTTTGTGGGCTTCAAGAAAACACTTGGCTGTTCAATGACTCTAGTCTAATGGTTTTGGTAAGGTTCCAGTCAGTTGTGATGTGCTGCTGAGAGATTGATCAATCAGGTGACAATTTAAGACCATAATATGGCACATTAGCCACTAGAATCTACATAATTTTGGGAAGAGATTTGATCAGGGGCACTGTATGTGCCCATGGTTGTTTTTAGGTATTACTAGATATCTAGATCAACTAGATCTAGACATGGAAATCATATGTAGACTGTACTGATTTTTTTCAGTCTAAAGATTTTTAAAGATTGATCATGACCCGATGGAGATGTATGGACACGTTTGCTAACATACTGTGAAGCTGTTGAGTTCACCGTATGTGTTGTGAAGCGCATGCCTATTATAAAAATTATGAGATACATGTAAATATTTTCCCCACAAAGCATGTTTAGGAGGTGCATTTGACTGCCAAGTGGTAGAGCATACTGCGCTCCGACATGTTGTAAGCAAGAGGATAGGTGGATGTTGTTTTGGTTTTCACTCACTTTGTATTGTGTTTAGTGTTCTGTGCAGAGAGGAAAAGTAAGGCTTGGTTAGTGTTTGTTCGTGTGTGTGTGTGTGTGTGTGTGTGTGTGTGTGTGTGTGTGTGTGTGTGTG